TCTTTCTAACTGGATTCAATTCAAATCCATACTTGATTCAAAATTATTTGGGAACGGGCAAGCTCATAAAAATGTCAGTGAAAACGCCATGACTTCTCGGGGTGGCGAAAAAGTGCAAACAAGGATTCCAAACAAGATGGCGTTTGACAGGTTTTATTTCGTATTTTGACAGGTTTTATTCAAACTTATGTGCTTGTTAAAGATGGTTATTGCTTCTTATAATCGCAATTTTTATTTATTTCTAATAATAATGCGGCATATCTGAGTCACCAATCATGTGCGTATATTAAGTGAAGAAAGCGCATGAATAAGAAAGTGAATTTTGTTATAATTAACGTTAGAAGAAATAAATTGCTTCGTTGGATAGATTCATTGAGGTATGTACTCATAATTAAAATGTATTTGCTATTGACCACCATATTAAAACAAACATGTGTTGCTTAAAGGTATGATAAAATTTTCAGACAAGGCCATAAGATATTTTATGATTTGCATGTTGTGTTATCAGCTGAACAAAGTTTAGATCTTTCTATTAGTACTTTGTTGCAGAATGAATCTCATATTTGATAGGATGTCAGGACTTACAGGATTTCTACACTGCAATTTGATTTGATTTAATTGTTTTGTATTATTGCATTACTGCAGGTATGTTTTGTTTTATTGCATAAAAAGATATTACTTTTAAAAGTTTTAGGAAGCTATTGTATCAGTATATGCACGGTTGAAGAATTTCTCCAAAATTTTATACCGATGAGCAGTATTTGCTAATATTGATAGAAGAGGGTCTCCTCCATAGATTGGTAATTATTTGTGTGAATTTAATATTACATACCTGTTAAAATTTTATACTTTAAATTATATGCTCTCAATGTTTTTTCTTTCAGGTTAATTTAGGTACATATAAGAAGTATTCATCTTTGATTTCCAAAAGCTTACGTATAAGCGTATTACATATAACATTTATGTACAGTTAATATTATTATACAAGCTAACAGTCATGATACATATATATTTAATCTAATATAAATTAACATTTCTTTCATTTACCATCCCCATCTTATCCAATAATGAAAGTTTGAAGATTCACCAAAATAGGACATAAAAAAACAATATTTTCACCAGAAAATTGATAGTCCTTTGGTATATTACATAGAAGTTTTAAAATTTTCATTCTGTGTATGACTCATTCTACATGTATACGCACACTAGCTTCAAAGTGAGTTTAATTAATATCTCCTGATGAAAGTAAATCCATTTTAAATTTAATTTTAAACAAATAGCGTATGCACAAGTACTGCTATATTTATTAATTTGTCTAACTCAGTCCATATTGATGAAAATCCTGACTATGAAGTGCAATTAAAAACTTTGTCTTTTTTACTCATGAATTTACCTTTGTCAGTTAATACAGCACATCCTGATTTTACTTTTTTTTATTACGCCCGAGAGTACATTAATTTGGGTTGGAGTGATTCTGCCTAAGCCCACATTATTAACAAATGAAATAAAGCCATCTGGAGTGCAAATAAATAAGAACCTACTTTCAAATACCCTGGAAACTACCAACGAATGAATCTGAAAAGTAAAACCTAAAGCAATATAACTAATTTCTAACTTTCATAATTAGTGTTTTCTAAGAATCAAACTCATAAATGATTTTTAATAATGTTTTTATGCATGTAAATATGATCATTTAAGCAAATATTGATTTAATTTACTAAAGCCTCTTCAAACTTTGAACTTTCTTCATATTTTTCTGATTGAATATCCTTCCTGAATGTAAATAGTATGCATATTGGTAGTAGCAAACAAAATTTATATTTTGAATTTCATTATTCTTACCTCTGTTATTGTAAAATCATAAAAAATAAATGATGAAAATATGTAAGAAATATGAATTATTAAATGTTTAACCTAAAAATGCACGTTTTACGTCAAAACAAATATTAGTTGACAGCAAATTCAACTCATAAATGATAATATTGAATTGCTAAATGATATTATTGAATTTGCTATCATTTACACTAGCTATATTGTAAGCAAAAATAATCTCATGTTTATTATTTACACAAATTTGAAACATGTTGCTTTATTCCATTGAGTAGTGCAAGTACTAAAAATGTATATAATTTGCAAAAGGTGGGTGCAAATTTGATTGTTTTATTTGTCCTAACGCCAGTAGGCTATATTATCACATTCAATCCTAGTTTGAATTTATTTTGTTATTATTATTAACGTCCTAGCCTTTGTTTAGTAAAAACTAACTGCAGTCAAATGAGACCCTACTCATGACAAATTTGAAACTTGATCTTATAATACTTGAATACCAAATCAAAGCACTCCGTAATGTTGGTTTTAATATGTTCTGGAATAACTATATTTCGTTCTTTCTCAAATATTTGTCATAGAGATTAAATATGAATAATTTGTTATTGCAAATTCCTAAATCTCGACGTTAAAGGCCAACATCTTTGCAAGATTCGATCCTAGATAATATTTGAATATGATATCTCCATCATATATTATTATATCGTATAGGATCTTCATAATCGGTTCTCAGGTTTAAACTACTCTTTTCGCCGAACTATTCTTGTCGGCGACAACTTCATGTCGTGTTCATGTCGTCCGTGAAATGTACAATCAATTTATGACAGCTAAACACTCGTTCCGACGCCAACTTCATAGCGTCCGTTAAAAGTACGATCAAAGGTCAATGACCTTTGTATGACCGCTAAACGTCAAAATTAGCATATTTTAACGTCGTGTCAGTTTATGCCATAGATAAAAGAAGAGTACATGGCCGGTAATCTCCGAACAAAACTCTGTAGCTCGATTTTAGTTTGAGCTGCTCTCCCTTGGAGCGCTCTTGCAGCGATTTGGCACTCATCTGGTAAGAATTTCAACGCGGGCAATCAAACAATTTCGAGAACGTTCGGTTGCGTTTATAAGTGATTAGGATTAGTTTGCAAGCAAAATGTCGATGTGTTACGTTCCAGGGTGCACTAATACCAAAAATGCAAAATTGCATGTATTTTCAGCGAGAAATGACAAAGTACGTAATAAGAATAAAATAACCAAACATTAATCACAAATAAATATTGTTTTGGATGTTGTAGATGTTTGCTATTTGGCTGGTCAAAACTAGTGTTTTCTACTAGAACCTATGTAATATGTAAAATGATTAATAATATTTACGGGCCTTCAACAATGAGTAAGTAATTTTATCAATATGCATACTTCAAAATACTTGCATCTATTACTACTAGTCTGATATAAGTTTTTATTATAGCATAGTAACTGAGACATTTAACAATGCTAGGAATTTTAAGGTTATAGTTATTGAAAGATAAAATTGCCGTCACACTAACCAACTCACTGATAGGTAAGTTTTCAAGAATTATTCTTGTACTAATAATAAAGGTTTATAATAAATAATTTAACATTGATTTTTTTCAGCAGTTTTTCTCTTGGAAGTAGTTATGAAACGGGTTTACTAAACACAAGTATTGATATGAGACGAATAAACAAGGAAAAACATTAATAAAGAAATTACAAGCCAGTCTGAAACATGCTGAAATATTTGCTGATCTCCCACTGGCATTGAATAATAGTATTCATAATGATATATTAAGTCGGTTAAGAGAAGATACTGAATTATTAAATAGAAGGAAATTCATGCTTAAAGATAAAATTCTAGCTAAGGGGTAATTTAGGTTTGGCTATGTTCCACGAAAAGTTTGTGAGTAGTGATAGTTGCATTTTGATATTACACAGAAATATTATTATCTGCGTTGTTTGATGATCGTAAAGATAATCACATTGTACAGATTGACAGGAACTGTCAAATGGAAGAAAGTATATATTTGCTAATCTCTTTTTTAGTTAGAGGAATAAAACACCATTAACGTTCTGATAGAGATGTTATTCTTAAATGTGTTATTGAAGATGCCATAAGAAAACTATTAAGTACTTGTACATTACCATTAATAATTTCCTTTTTTTATGTTAATGATGATAATGACATGTTCAACATTCAAATGAACATCAACACTAGTCGTAGAAAATATTAACAGAAACAAAACAGTAACTTAATTGTTAATTAGCATTATTCGAAAAAAATATAAGCTGAGTTGCTTGAGAAGATTATCGTATGCATTAATTTTGCAAATGATTTTTAAATATATATATTTTTTACTTTTTATATGAATATAATTATTTTTCTCTTTTTAGATTCTAGAAATTTTGTTGCTTTTGCGAATAATGAAAGAGATCTGATAGCTTCTCAAATTTTTGCGAATAATGAAAGATATCCGATAGTTTCTCAATTTTTTTTGATTTATTTATTATTGAGATCGAATTATGAGATGTGTTTAAATTATTTATCTTAATCTAATTGTAATTATAAGTAATCTTTGCTCTAGAAATATAAATAAATATACCTATAAATATATATATATATATATATATATATATATATATACACATTTCTATTTCTTTTGTGTTTAGCTTATAAGGATGAATCTTTTGTAACCATATGTGCAAAATACTATTGTTAAAAATAAATGTTTTTTAAAATTCAATTTCTTTTTTTTTTAATTTTGAATTCAAACGGTCTATAATATTGGTGCATTTCTAAAGTATTTTTTGTACGCACCTGTTCTACGATCGACGCGTGCGCACCAAGGGAGAGCAGCTCGAACTAACCCCGGCAAGTTGACAGTTAACGTGGCAACGAAATATGCCCCGAGAGAGCGATCTATATACTCTTCTTTTATCTATGATCTTATTATTATTGATGTTATATGATTATTAAAAGATGGTTTTTAAAATTCATATATGATGTTTTTTTTATTTTTATCTTAATTGCCTACTTATACAATATTAAAAGTTTTACTTCAATCGCGTGTGATCCTTACGCGCACTCTTTTTATACACTTAGACTTCTTAATTTTTAAGAACTCGTCACCAGTTAGCCTATTGTAACCAAACTAACCTCAAAAATGTCTGAAGAAACAGATTTTAACAAGACAACTAAAACCGAACCGATCGATGATTATCTTCAAGTGAAACAGGAATTTGATGATTGTGAAAATACATCAGATTTGTATATGGATGATGATATATGTCGGCAGCAATTTTTAGAATCCGAGGTTACAATTGACGAGGAAATAAAACAAGAGACGATTGATGACCAACATGATGTGACTAGTACAAACAAAACAGTTTTAGATGAAAATTCTTCTGTATGTAACGACGAGATCAGTGAATCAAGTACGATAGTCGATAGTACAAACAAAACATTTGACAAAGTTTCAAGAAAACATAAAACAACTAGTAAATTGAAATATAAATGTAGATCATGCAGTAAAACATTTGTAGCAAAACGTAACTTAAAACAACATGAAAGGATCCATACAGGAGAACGTCCTTATGTGTGCGAAATATGCAATAAAACATTCACAGCAAAACATAAATTAAAACAACATGAAATGATCCATACTGGAGAACGGCCTCATGAGTGCGAAATATGCAATAAAAGATTTGCACTGAAAAGTAATTTAAGAAAGCATTCATTAGTGCATAGTGAAGAACGACCTTATGAATGTGAAATTTGCAATAAAAAATTCAAAACAAAACAAACATTAACTCAACATGAAATAGTACATACTGGAGAACGCTGTCATGAGTGTAATATATGCGATAAAACATTTTCACAGTTAAGTAGTTTAAGAAAGCATTTATCAGTACATACCGAAGAACGTCCTTATATTTGTGAAATTTGCAATAAAAAATTCAAAACAAAACAAACATTAACTCAACATGGAATAGTACATACTGGAGAACGCTGTCATGAGTGTAATATATGCGATAAAACATTTTCACAGTTAAGTGGTTTAAGAAAGCATTTATCAGTACATACCGAAGAACGTCCTTATATTTGTGAAATATGTAATGAAAAATTCAGATTGAAAGAATACTTAAACGGGCATAAACTGGTCCATACTGGAGTACGCCCTCATGAGTGCGTAATATGCAAAAAAACATTTTTAGTGTTAAGTCATTTAAAAAGACATTTATTAATGCATAATGAAGAACGTGCTTATGATTGTGAAATGTGCAATAAAAAATTCAAAACAAAACAAGCATTAACTGAACATAAAATAGTACATACTGGAGAACGGCCTCATGAGTGCAAAATATGCAATAAAAAATTTTCAACGGCAGGTTCTTTAAGACGGCATTTATCACTGCATATTGAAGAACGACCTTATGAATGCAAGACATGCAATAAAACATTCAAAACTAAACGTTTATTAAGGCAACATGAAAGAAGACATACTAGAGAACAAACTGTAAAAAAACTGTCAACAAAACTGATAAGTTAGCCTAGAAACTGTCCGGCCTTATAATCCTTATCCATTACACAACTTATATTGATATATCATATTAATTGCAATTTATTTAATATATATTTCATTTACAACTATGATTGTTACTCCTAACCAATGCCTTGTATGTAATTGTTTAATAATATGAATACATATTAAAAATGCTATTTATTTTTGTTTCTTTCAAAGCCCTACTATTTTTGTTCTTCAATTCTTCAATATTCATAGTAAAACTCCTTTAGGCGCGCCTAAAGTGTAAATCTGTGCAAATGCAACAAAGTGCGTTACGGCACAAATAAGAGTCGAGTGCCAATGATTCGTCATTCACTCTCGATGATATCATTTCTATACGCGTCGATTGTGATTGGTCGTCGTGTCACGTGCGAGGGTTATTTGGTTGTATGCGTACGCCACATACGTAATTAGATTTTAAGGTTAAGTCCTAGTAGAAATCTTGATTTGATTAAAAAATATGTGGATCGGTAGAATAATTTATACCGTCTTCAGTAAATAATTTTACTGAAAATAATTAAACAAATGAAAAATCTGTGCCGTATAAGAAACGTAAGTTTATTGAAGTAATTTGTATTATTCGTGGTTACTATATATTTTTAGAAATGAATTTTATATACTTTTAATTTTATAGAATGAAGACAGATTTTACAGCTGTTCAAAGAATGAGACTGTATCGCCAGCAAAAAAGTAAAAAAAAATACCATCAGTCAATGAATGCATGGTCGTGCATTATGGCCCGCTCCACTGCACGAACGCGGTTTGCTTTTGCTTGCAAAATTTCTGTCTGCACACTTTGCGAACAGATTCGCCGTACGAATTCGTGCAATGGAGTCGGGCCAATAGGTTTTTTCATAATCAGTTAATTCGCATATTGCAGCATAATTTATTGACTGTAAATTTTTAGCTTATGTATTTGTGCGTGTAATAAAGTTAGTTTTCTTGCCAAAAAATGCCTCCTAAAGAAAGAAGAATTGCTATGATGGGTTACAGATCAGTGGGTCAGTGACGACTTGGATAAAACTAATGCGTATTAAATATCTTTTAACTGGTGTTATTTTATGTTATATTGCTTATAGTATAGGTAAATCTTCCTTGAGTATTCAATTTGTTGAAGGACAATTTGTTGATTGTTATGATCCAACTATTGAAAATAGTAAGTAAAACTTTTCATGGTCAGTTGATTGCATGTTGTTCTCAATACAAATGAGTAATATATTCATTCTTAAGATGACTTTGTTTCACATATACTCTTATTGAAAATATATATTGCTTAGCTTTAAATATAATTGCTTCATATGTAAAATCGTTTATAATGTTTCTAATACACACATATCATAAAACCATCATTTAAAAATTATAATAATTTTTCATTTTCATTTATAAAAATATACAGTTTTTAAACACTGTATTTCAATCAGACAAATTGTTGGATTTAAAGAATCACAGTGAATATTTTTCAAATACATAGTTCATTACAGTTGATTCTCTATTCCATTTAACAATTGTTATATATATAGAAATATAAAAACATACACTTATACTAATAATATACATCATAAAAAGGACAATCATATCAGTAATCTATATAAAAATAAAATTAAGTTTGTTAATCTCTGCAAAGACATCTTATAACATATTTATTTACGGAAGCCACAGGCTTGTTATAACAGTTTTTTTTTTAATCCATATATCTAGAGATCCACTGATTATATTTCTATGAAATCAAGATTTCTAGTTGCTATAACTATTTCTCGACCGAAACAAGTGAAAATAATTCAACAATTGTTGTTCATTATTTCATACTTAAGAAATTTTTAGAAAAAGTAGGGTAATACATCTTACCCCGTCTTTGAGACTAGTTGTTACATTTACTGAGTCAAGGAGTAATAACATAAAAACTGAAATAATATCTATAATAATTTATTTTTTACTCAATTTTAAGAAAATTGACTTGTTTCTAAGTAATTACAAAAGATATATAGTCGTACATAATTTACATGTGTCCACATCTTACAGAGTGTTCATTCCATATAATCTTTTCGACTTGAATCTGTATATAAATCTTGTATGTTACAACTAGCCCTAAGGTTTTGTTTCAACTAACCGCAGGTGTTATATTTTTCCAATAATGAATATAACTTTTCATACAATTAAGCGATCACAAAAGTTGTTACACATTATCATTAGACACAAAATCAGATAATAGTAAATTTAAAATTAGTGAATGATAATAACGAAAAATCTAGGTTTTATAATAAATCAATTTTATATTGAATGTAAAAAATGACGCACCTGCACAGTTCTGTATATTGCATTGGCCTGCCGGACAGTAGCTGTGATAATATTATGCAGGACGGTATACATGTCTAAACGAAACAAAAAAATTATTTTAATATCGTTCAAGATCTTATAGAAAAAAGCTTGTTACTAGTTACCCCTATTACAGATAGTGCCCAATTCTCCTACTTTAATTTTAAATTAGTTAATCCTCCAAAAGCTTTTGGAGCAGGAACAAGCTTTTCCTTTTTTAGGTTTTTAAGTATTTCACATATATATTTTATATCTGTTTCGTTTCATGATCTTAAATATCATGTTTCAATGTTGTCTTTTTTAGGTATTACGATGAAGTTTTCTATATCGATTGTTATAGAATATATAATATATAAGTATATATAGTGATATGTTGTTTGATTTAATAATTCTTCTTTTGGCAAATTCCTGAATGATGTAAATAATTTTTAATTGATAAAATTATTGCTATATTGATTCATTATTATACTGCAATAAATCAATAGTAAACATCTCTTAACTGTTTTTAATTATGTAAAAACATTCATAATTCTTCAAATATCCATTGATTCCGGTTATATTTTGTACTATTTCTGGTTGATGAAAATATTAACATACTCATCATTTTCTATTTGACTTCTTAATAATGTTTGTTCCAGCATTCACTAAGACCACAAGAGTAAATTCCACCGATTATGAAGTAAAATTAGTAGACACAGCTGGCCAAGATGAGTATAGCATTTTTCCCGCACAATATGCTATGGATTTTCACGGCTATATTCTTGTTTACTCTATAAGTAGCTCAAAGTCTTTTGAAGTGGTCCAAATTATATATGATAAATTGTTAGATGTAATGGGTAAAGTTCAGTAAGTTAACACACTGTGAATTGAATTAAATTTGGAGTATAGATTTTATTTATTTTGATTAAATTTTTAGAGTACCTGTAGTGTTAGTAGGTAACAAAACTGATTTAAATATGGAACGAATGATAAGTGCAGATGAAGGTAAACGATTAGCTGATAGTTGGAAAGCCGCATTTTTAGAAACATCTGCCAAACAAAATGAGGTAATAATAATCAAAATATTATCTGAAATTGCATGTTAATAACTATATTTACTTTATTCCTTAATAAAGAATCAGTTATATTTTAAATATTAATTTTATATTTCAGTCAGTAGCTGAAATATTCCATGCTTTGTTAGTCGAGATAGAAAAAGCAGACGGTAACACTCAAGAAAAAAGCAATTGTGTAATTCGTGAATAAATAAAATAATCATTATGTGTAGAAAATTACATGGTTATAAGAAGCTATATTATGAAACTTCAATTTTGAAGAATGTGTTTAAAATTAATATATTTTTTGTTAATTGGTACAATTAATAGTAATGAAATTTTAATAGCAAACCAGTTATCTTGTTTGGATTCATATTTAAAAATATTATATCAAATTGTGAAGGAATAGAAAACACATAATTGTCAATAATTGATTGTTTACATGTGTGGAACAAAAATAATCATAAACAAAAATTTGACATTTTACAAAAAAAAAAAATGTTTAACGACTTCAGTAGGAAACAAATAAATTAATTATTCCAAGTTAAGTTATAGGCAATATTGCCAAACAAATTATGGATACAAAACATTATTGTAAAATAAATACTATCATTTTCGACTAAAAGGGAAATATTTTGACATTTATAAATTTAGTGCATATTGCATATATGAAATTGACATTAACTATTTAAATTAAATGCAAAAGTAAAAAATCTGATATTTATATAAATATTTAGATAATGATACTGCGTTGATTTAGACTAATCCATGATGCGAGTGAAATAATTTTGGAAGTATGAAATGTCGAATAATTTTGAAAATTATAACAAGTTTTTAACTATTTGTCAGAAAGAATATATTTTATTACAAATTCATACCCATATCAAGCACCAAAGTAATAAATAATACTTATCAAATGACATATTATTTATAGACAATATTTAATGAATATTTTAATTATATTTTTTGACAATTGCTAATTCAAAATAATTGAAAACAATGTCATAAATCGGATATTTCTGGTAAAATATCAAATAAATATATTTCACTTGATTTCAAATAAAAAAAAACTAATTGCTATGCCAAAATAGATAGTGTTGTGCCCATAAGCGTGAATAAGAAATAAGGAACTTAATTTGTAACGAAGAATTTATACGAAACACTGGTTTGATTTAGAAAGTTTATTTAGAAAGAATGATTAAATGATATTTGTATGTTTGTTGTTCGCTTCTTGAAATCTGCCGTGTAAGAGAGCTATACAGATCGTGTTTTTGATAAGGAAACCTCGGTCGAGTCGTCTTCTGTCCTCTTCGGGGCTCCTCGTGTAGAATCGGTCCACAGTGCATAGGCATAGATGGGACCTGTGCATCTTACATGTTTAAGTCGAAGCTGCATCGGGGAAATTATGCATAACAAATACCCTTTGTCATTTTTTTGCCTTTGGTGTCAGACAGGACACTCGCTTCACTGAAAATAAACATGATTTAGCATTATTTTTAAATGGAGAAACTATTGAATAGTGATGATATTTATTATATTTATTCACCTGTATTACGTGTGGCGTGACATGTCCCTGATTCATTTATGTTGGACACAAATTCTTTATTTACTACAACTTTATCAAACTTGCAGAACATTCCTATTGATATTTTGTGGCAAGCTTTCCGAAGTATAACTTTCCACCTGGGTGGAAATGTTATTTGTGCTCAAACAATGTTCTCCCAATAATCGATAATTAACAATTTTCCCTTTAATTGTTTTCATATTGATACCAAGCTCTAAAAATTATGAAAAATATATGATTTTACTGTATATTGAACTTTGTTTTGTTTATTGAAAATACTTACGAAATGTTGCTCTATCCAAAAGGCAATTTTCTTCGTCGTATGGGTCTCCATGAAATCCTGAATAATAGACAATAATAGCTGACAAATTGTTAACAAAATATATACATTTGCATATTATATAACATTACATTCCTTGCAATACTAACCTTTTAACTTTAAGATTAACTTTTAAGTTAACTTTTTAAGATTTGTCATATTTTTCTTTTGTGGCTGTGTTTTGCAACAATCTGCAAAATGATTGTCGCAAACAAATCGACTTATTCGCATTTTTTCAATCTCCACATCATCCAATTTTGGATTACTCACTCGCCTAATCCAAATCTGATACATCTATAATATTTTGCATTTTAATTTATAACCTATTGAAGAAACACAATATTATATTTTACATACATTGTCATTCCTTGTTGGAAAACCATGTAACCTCACGGTTTTCTTATTTCCTAAGCGACCAGGAACGTGACAAGTCATTTTTAACACCCTCACTGCACTTTTGTAACTTTATATAGACAATTCTTCAAACTTCACCAACTAATGTAAATTTATATCATTTATATCATTTATATCATTTATATCATTTATATCATTTATATCATATATTATTGATGTAAATTTATAAAAGTCATTAGAATGTTGGAACATCGGATTGGTCAAGAATTACTGCTGCAAGTGTTTAACAAACAATTAGCTTTGGCTACGAATGCTTCTACACAGAAAATTGGTAAAATACATTTAATTAACTTATTGCATATTATGATTTTTGTTTATATTCTTATATTTAAGGCAGTGGATTATGGCATCATATGCTAATTTCTACAAATGTCTTCACAAAAGCTATATTTACTGTTACCGGCAAAGATATGGCTGTTTTTGTTGATCAGTGGGTGAGGACTGGTGGACATGCCAGATTTTCGCCGACATCAGTTTTTAATAGGAAAAGGTAATAATCAGAAATCTTGCCATCTGTTTTCTGCATTAATTAAAAAGTAAATGAATTTTCTCAATTTAATTCCTTTTTAGAAATACTGTAGAGTTGGAAATTGGACAGGATGCAGTTAGTCAAAGAGGTATTAGAAAATATGTTGGTCCATTGCTAGTTACTTTGCAAGAACTTGATGGAACTTTTAAACATACTTTACAAATTGAAAATACAGTTGTTAAAGCTGACATTACTTGTCATTCCAAGAGTCGTAGAAATAAAAAGAAAAAGATTCCTTTGTGTACAGGAGAAGAAGTTGATATGGATTTGAGCGCTATGGAGTAAGTAAAGTAAAGTTATATTTTTGGCTTTTATATCCATATTGATATATTTATCTGAGCGATGTTATTGCTCAGATGGAAGCGATTGATGCATTGGAACGCTACCCAACTCCTGCCTCGCGAATGGCTTTGACTGTCACTATTGAGAATGAACAAGCATTTTATAAAGTTCGATGCAAAGCTGCTGACAAAGGTGAGAACAAAATAATTAGTGCGAGATGAATTAAATGTATTACATGGTTTTAGGTGGCCAATGCAATGGTTTTCACTTGGGCAGGGCCTCCAGCCATGTTGGCTATTTTCAGAAAAATGTTTGGGTCTTTTTCAGCTGCTCATATCATTCGGCAGAATAATTTTACTGATTTTCAACACTATTTCCTCAAAAAACTATACCTGTTGCAATGGCAGGTGAATGACATTCAAAATGTTTTCAAACAATATTTGTGATTGTCATAAATGTATATAGGGTGTCCAGAACTCAACATCAAGCCGTAATGGGGTGATAGTATTGACTAACTGTCCTGGAAAAGATTAAACAAAAAATATCTCAAGTTATTTGAAAATTTGAGCTTTTAAGTACAAATTAGAGCTTTGGTAAAATTGTGACCATTTTTCGTATATTGTATTACTTTTCTTCATTATACTTTTAATTTATTCATGACAAGTTAGGTCAATACTATCACCCTGTTTGGGGTTGATGTTGGGTTTTGGGGCACCCGTATAAGTAACACTGTCAATTTTATTTCCACAAGTCTCAGAAATGCTCATGGCATTTGTGCTCATGGTGTAATAAGATTTTTAATAGAACTATTCAAATACAATGATAATTTAAAAAATCATTACTCAGATTGTTACTATAGAGCTGCATTAGTTGATGCTTTGGGAAACAGTTACACCAGTTGTTTCTATGGTGCACCAGGTTAGTATAATTGATATATATATATATATATATATGTAGCGACCTGTCAACACACGTCGCATTTTAACTTGACAGATGTTCATTATTTGAAGCTCATCATAGTGTCAGCTCAAAAACAAAAAGTTCAAGTGTCAGATCAGATCTCGTTTTTGTTTGCTCAATGTTCGAAATGCCAAAAATTATAATTCTTAACTTTTTTTCCTTTTTTATTATAAATACTGAAATAACATCTACGTTTTTGTAAATGATCAATATAATCACACATAGTGTTATTACTATTGTCATAATAAACAATATTCGTAGTATAGAGAACACGAGTTTCTTTAGTAAATGGCTCACAACCGCCATAACTCTAAGAACATTCTAATCCTACAACTGAGACTCCGGCCACGCACATCGAAAACAACAACACGTGCTCAACAAATCCCTCATTATCCTGGAAAATGAGTCGATTATAAGCACCACGGCAGAGGACAGGGAGCGTCAGCAAACAATTTGGCAACCGCCACATACACTCAACCGCTAACTCACCAGCGAAGGGCCACATACAATCAACCGCTAACTCACCAGCGAAGGGCCACATACACTCAACCGCTAACTCACCAGCGAAGTGTCAAATATACTCAGCCGCTAACTCACCCAGCGAAGGGCCATCTACTCAACCGCTAACTCACCAGCGAAGGGCCACGTAAGCAATCAACAAACTCAACAAGCCAACACGGCATTCAAAACGGCCACGGCCACGAACAAATAAAATTTATCACACAATCTCAACCAAAAGAATTTACAAGAAAGTTCAAGATGGCACTCAGAGATGCGAAACAATCTTTTTCATTAGGGCGGAGTGATCTGTAGCGACCTGTCAAACACACGTCGCATTTTAACTTGACAGATGTTCATTATTTGAAGCTCATCATCAGTGTCAGCTCAAAAACAAAAAGTTCAAGTGTCAGATCAGATCTCGTTTTTGTTTGCTCAATGTTCGAAATGCCAAAATTATAATTCTTAACTTTTTTACCTTTTTTTATTATTAATACTGAAATAACATCTACGTTTTTGTAAATGATCAATATAATCACACATAGTGTTATTACTATTGTCATAATAAACAATATTCGTAGTATAGAGAACACGAGTTTCTTTATATATATATATATATATACATATATACTTAATATTCATTTA